TCCTTTCCTCTCTATTCCATGCCTCAAACGCTCCCTGTACGTCCCATCTATTTTTACCCAGCTCAGTCACGTACACTTCCCTCTCCTTGTACAACGGACATTCCGCCGCGACTACATGAACACGGTCTTCGCATTCGAAGCCGCAATCACATTTGAACTCGTCGTCTTCCTCGTCTACCGTCCTATGTCTTCGTCGACGTTCTCGAAGGCCTATGTCCCCGGTCCTGAATTTGACCTTAAGCTTTGTTCCTGCATCCATTGGTCCATGTAGGTAGTCCTTGAACCCTATTCCTTCCTTCAACATTCCGTACACTTCTAGACCCTCCTTATCCTTGGATTCTTTCCTCAGATTCTGTTCTTCTCTCTCGGCACAAGCAACAGACATCTTCTCCTTGAACCCCTGTCGACCTACCGTTTCCAGCGTTTCATCTTCGTCGATGTCGAGCCCCTTCCATACGTCCTCTACAACCTTGACCCATTCCGTGGGTTGTCTACCCCTCTTTTTGTTTGCCCACTTCGCCTCCCATACAATTCTGGGCAACCTCTCCTCTCCCATCCCGCACATGCGATACTGCCATGTCAGCCTCCTCGCGTCTCTTCCCGACCGTAGGGATTGGATCCCCAATTCTGCCCTGACGGCTGCATTACTTGTGCGCCTGGAGCATCCTAGGATGATTTTCGCTGCTTTCATCTGCGCCGCCTCGAGTTCTTTCACTACCTTCTTATTTCCTTCCCATACTTCTCCGGCGTACTCTAGCGGGGGTACGATTACGCTCTTCAAAACCGTCAATTTGATGCGTGTATCGAGGTACCGGTTTGCGAGTATTGGGTGCAGCTTCCCTGCTCGTGCTTTGCCCTTCCCGCTACCTGACACATGCCATGTGTGCATTCCACAACACCGGGGGGGAAGAAAGGGGGGTACGCGGCAGAAAAATGGGGGTACCCCATTATCGTATATTCTGTCGGGCCCCCCGGTTCTCAGCATAATAAATTCCTTTAAACGGGGAGTTTCCTTTACCCGAGCGTCCTTAAAGCGGGGTCGACTGTATGTAGCTACTCTGCACACATTGTATCGCATCCATATACCGCGGCACAGCAGCCTCTATATATTTCAAGAAGCACGATTGCCAAGAGTGACGTGCAATGCAGGGGGTCAACGAGGTGCCCCTCTACGATAATTTTCCCCTCTGCCAGTCCATCGCTGAATAGTGAACGTTTGGGGGGGGGGGGGGGGGGG